TTCAAATATATATATATAGTAATAGTACACATGCTTCGGAAGCTTCTTTTTTGTTTATCAAATATTTTGTTTTAATTGGAAAAGATTATATGAGTGAGAAAGATAATGCTTTTGTTTTTCTTGGCAATTTTACGATATATGCTTTTGTTTAATAAATTATTCTTTTATCCCTGAGATTTTTTCTACTTAACAACTTTGTTTCTTAATTTTGGAAACTACATTTAAATGTTCTTCCCAAAAAAGTGTTATTTTAGTTGTTAAATAATTAAAAAATAAAAGTAATCTTCATTAAATATACCCACTAAGAAAAGAGAAAATTATTTTTTAATATTTTGAAATAGTTAACAAATTTTCTTTTAATTTTCTGAACTAGTTTTCTATAAAAAAATTTAATTTATAAAATTTTTTAAAAAAATGAAAATATAAATTTTATATTTTAACTTTATGACAATTAAAACAACTTTTTTATTTTGGCTGAATTTTTGTTAAATCGGTGTTATTTAATCGGTCTTCTTACTTATATATAAGGAGTGAGAGGTGATCATTTCATTTTATGTTGATGAAATGGAAGGATTTTCTGTTAATCAAGTATACGTTGGTTGCAATTAAAGAATTTCCAACATACCGGCCAAGAAATCCTAAAGTCATTGTCAATTTGTACAAATTAATAAAAGATTCCATATATATGCTTATGTTAAATTCCAGGAACAAGTTGGAATTTCTTATTAAAATTGGACCATAAGATGGTTGGAGTGATTTCATTCTCATCAATAACTATGTTAAAATTGGGATTTTTTTTTTTTTTTTTCTGAATCAAAGAGATGAAATTGGGAAATTTTGTAAAGAATATCCATTCCATGCTTTCGATAAAATTGATTCTTTTTTACTGGATGGGGATAAGGATCTTGACAGCCACGTATCATAATTTGCATTATTTGATTACCATAAAAGGAAAAAGATTAAGGATCTGTTTGGGAGCGACAGGAAGGAAAATAATATAAAAAAATAATGAGAAATTGTCAATTTTTTTTTTCATTTTCCACCATTATGTTTGGTTATGATAAGAGAAAAAATTAAATTACTATTTTTCGTTGTTTGGAAAAACAAAATTTTTAGAGGAATCATTATTGAAAATTGATAATTATATCTTCAATGAAAATTTGAAAATTGATAATTATTGAAATTTGGATTATTTTGAGTAATTTTGTAAAAATAGTTATGTATTTAGAGATTCCAAATATGTAGACATGGGTAGAAGAAAAGTAAAAACTTCATTATTTTCCTTATCTTTCCCAAATAAAGGAAAACTCCTTTCTTAAGTTTTTACCATAAATGTTTTCTTTCCTTCAAAACAATACTCATTGTTTAGAAATAAAAGAAAGAAAAATAACGAAGGAATGAAAATAATAAAGGAAAATAATGATGAAGTATCAATTTTTTTTTCATTGTTATTTTTCACCTCTATATTTGGACATAATAAAGAAAAGAAAATGTTATTATGGAAATTGACAATTATACTCTAAGTGGAAATTTAGAAATTGACAATTTGAAATTTTAAGGGTATTTGGGTAATTTCATAAAAATTCCTGATTTTCTCTTCAAATTATAGGAAAAGTTTATCTAGACTAGGTTCATGGCTCAGTTTACGGATCAAACCAATGAAAGTAATAATTCTTATTGAAACGATGATATTTCTTAACATAGTCAAAACACTTTTAAATAATCCTTAGTTTCATTTTTTGGTCCATAAACGAGATAATAAATTCGGTCTAGGCAAGGTAACTTTTTCAAATTAGAGAGACCATAAATATATGGACCTCGATGGAAACTACTTTAAATTACAGTTTATTTATTCTCTCTCCTTCTCAAATAAGAGAATAGTCATTTTTCGTAAATATTTTTCCGAAACTATTTCCTTAAAAAAAATACTTCCATGCAAAGGGTAAATTCCCAATGGACTTCCTTACATATGAAATCAAATTAAATTATTACACTATAAAGAAAATTGATTAGAACTCATAAAACAGACAGCTTTTAGTTAAAAAAAAAATTGATTTTTTCTTTAAATAAGTATAATTCTATATACTTCCCCTTAAAAAAGAGAAAATACAATTCTATGTAGTAATGTATAACTTCCTTATTAATATATTTTTCTTATTATTTAGAAAGGATGACATAAATTTAAATTATTTTCAAGTTAAAAATGTAACATTATGAGATTATGTCTACCAATTCCATACATTATGTTAACAAACCTAAAATCAGTCGTTCGAGAACCACTAATTTTTATTTAGGTAGCTAACTAACTTTAAGGAAAGACATACAAACCAAGACTAAGACATAATACAGTAATTAATGCATATATAACCTAAAAATAGATTTAGGTTCAAATTTCTAAACTCACGGGAAGAGACATAATTAGCCGATGAATATGATTTATGTGGGATAGTTTGTATGAAATTGGTTCATGGGAAGTAGCAATTTATTAATTTATTTGAATAAGTCTGTCCAACTTACAAGGTTTGATTAGTATTTCATCTATCTTGGCCAAAAGGCACAACCCAAAAAAATAGAAAAAAAAAAAAAAAAAAAGTCTGATAGTGGTCCTATGTAAAATGAGCCCTACATTGCATTAACCTTCTTCATTCCCTTTAAGTGATATATTTTTTGTATCACTTAACTCATTTAGTATAAAAGGAAGGGATAGACATAAATATGTATTGGTCGATATTGACAATCATAATTGTGGTGGCCTATATAGATTCAAAAAGATAACAACTAATATGAGAAAGCTTGAGTCGTGTAATCTTCACCTTAGACTCTCCCTCAAGTAAACGCATATATATGTGATTGGAATTACATATACCTAACTATATACGAGATCATGTGTGACAGAGAGAAAGCCTCTCATCTTCATTATTTTAATTATAATATAGGCGTGAGCATAACTTAATCGTTGTAAGGAAATAGACATAACCAAAACCAAGACGTAAAAGGACTCAGTAAGTACAGCATAATTAATGCATATATAACCTATAAAGAGTTACGTGATTAGTGAGGATATCAAATTGTTTTCTAAACGTCACCGGTATTGAGACGATAAATTATGCCGATATGCAACAACTATATTGATTTTATGTGGGATAAGTTTGTTGGTATGAAACTTGTTCATAAAGTTGAGGCTTAAGCCAAAATTTACACTAGTAATGTTTATTCTGCAATAAATGTCGTTCACAGACCTAACAAGGATATTATTAGCTATTTTCATATATGCTTTGGCCAAAAGAGGGCCTTTACAAAAGTCCCCACAACAAAACATTAGATTAAGAAACTAAAAAAATAAAAAGTGAGTTCGGCTCATAAACTGCAAAATATAACACCACCAGTACACAAATCCAGAATATTCAGTCTTCCAATATAACGTAATCCAATACCCAAATACTTTAAACTTACATTAATGAGAAAGAGAAGTCATCCATTGCTAAAACCCACTTCTCAATAGTACGTACTAATATCCTAGTGAGAACTAGGTGGTATTCCCCAACCAATTTAACTCATCCTTAAGCAATGTCCAAATTCACAACATAAATAAAAAATATAAAATAGAACACAATGAAATCAATGTCATCATAGTGCCAAAATAACTTATCCAGAGCAACCTCATCAGATCAAACAATTTAAATCATAACATAACCGTAAGCAAAAATCAAAAAATCAGCTAACCAAACACTATTGTCAATCTTTCTCGACAGCAAAAAACACCCTAATATCAGATCACATTATATATAAAATTAAAAACGTGAAAATGAAAAGTATAAAACAGAAAGCCGGCTTGTCCAGAACAACTGAAAGAAAGCAGGTGAAAGTAGAAGGAATATCTATTGACAAGTTATAATAAAGAATAAGTCCAAAATGAACTTATAGTTCATAAGACGCCTAATTAGACAAAAGAGTGAACCGTAAGCCTAAAAACTGCTACATAATTAGAAGCCCTATGCAAAAATAGACTCTATAAGATCATATTATTATTGAAAACATATATTTCATTACAAAATTGAAAGAGATAGATAAGTAAATATAGATAATTGTATACACATACCACCATTTAGAAAATAGGACAGAAGGTCAATATAAAAAGACAAAGAAATATAGAATAAAATATATGCAATTGAACATATCTTGAGAAAAAACTTAAGTGTTATTCATTATAATAACAAGTATACTGATAAAGTCAACATGGTATGATACACCCTTCGTATCTCTGGTGCTAGTCATTATTGGAGTAGTAAGAAACTAGAACTGGTGCTTCTTATGATCGTCGCTTTTTAGCACGTGCTAGGGTAAGACAATGACTCGAACGATTTTATCATATAAGAGTAGAAACAAAAGAATTCTGCCTCGAGCCCATTCTAACACACAGTAAAGCATCACTCACCCTCTGGAGCGAAGTCTCATATGGCCTAATCTTGGACGATAGTGCAATAGTGTCAATGTATGGATTATAGAGATTTGTCTCTACATATTTGCTTGTGGATAAGTGATATGTGAGCACAATAATATTTCAACCAAATACACTACAACAAAGTCCTCGACATTAAAAGTCAAAGGCCTTTCCTCCAAGCTTGTTGAATACACTTAACAAAAAAAAAAAAAAAAAAAAAAAGATTTGCGGTCAACCAAATATCCCAATACACAATCCTAAGTTCAGTCTTCCAATAAGTTCCATATATTATCCACATAAGAAAGAGAAGTCATTTGCTAAACCCACTCTCTAACCTGTGGACATGTTTCCCCCACCTTTATCTCCTTTTTAGCTGTTCCAAGTTCCAACTAATATAATACCATCAATCATCTGTCCAATAATTCCAACACTCAGTCTTTTTCTACATAACGTACAAAATCAAATCAGCTCACATTGTCATCTTTCTTGACAGCAAAACCCTAAATCAGATCACTTTATTATTAAAAAGGAAAGGAAAGAAAAAGAAATGGGTGCAGACTGAAGAAGAGGAAGAGGGATACTATGACATTAACATAAAAAGTGTTCCAAAACTTGTTCTGGCCATGACAAAGAGCTTAGCTAAATTGTACAATGAAGCTATGCAAAAAGACTCATAATTCTTTGAAACAAATCATAAATGAAAAAGAAGTAATTGTATGTACACTCCATTAGAATGACAGAAGCAAAATAGACAAGAAAAAAGAAATTATATGCAAGAACATACTAAGAACACTAAGTATCATTATTCAAGTTCAAAAATCAATGGAATCCCCTTGAACCTCTAGATTGATAAAGCTCCAGTCTGCTTTTAGCCTCTGGTAGCAATGACTCGACTATTTTATCTTGAGTAACAAAAGATTGCTTAGACGCCCATTCTAACACAGTAAGCACCTCAGCTTGAGCAAGCTCTTGGCTATCTGGGACGTGCAAAGCAATGTAGGATAAGAGAAGCAATGCTGAAAGTTGAACAATTTGTTCACCAAAATAAACAAGTTGAATTAAATGCTTTGCCCCTCCAGCTTGTATAATCGCCTTGGAATGATCAAGGTGAAGATAGTTATCTGTACAGGCAAATTTTGATAAAGCAATTGCAGCCTCTCTTGAAACTTCAGCTTCCCTTTCATCTAGAAGTTTAACCAATGGAGCAATCATTCTTGTCTCTGTAGCTCGAAATGTTCTTGCCAAATTCCCAATAGCCTTAATACAAGGTATTAAAAGATCAGAATCAGCTTTTTCAATGATTCTCAACAATTGATCAATAGTGGCCTTGCAAGCAGGTGAATTAGGCTTAAATGCTGATCTTCTTAAATCAGAATCATTTTCTGCTACAGCTGTTATCTCCATTAAAGCCATAGCTGAATTGAATTGAACATCTTCAGTCCCTTTCTCTAATAACACTGCAAAGCACAAAAGTGCTCTTGATTCAGTTATACTTCGACAAATTGATGAATTTCCTTTGGCAAGTTGCCAAAGTGCTCTAGCTGCCATTGCTTTCATATTCGCCTTCGTTGCAGGGTCTTCAAATTCTCTTCCTTTAAGACTAACCCCAGAAAGAGAAGGACTCTGTTGATGATGATTTAGCTTCATACTGTTATTCCCATTGTTATTATTGTTATTGTTATTACTACCCCCTTGTTTAGGCTTAGAAGCAGCATTCAAAGCCATAGTGTTAGCAACAACAGTATGCAACCGATTAATTTGCGTTTGATTACCCGTTGGATGAGGAATTCGACTTTGATCTTCCTCAGGTGCAGATACCGGCGGTGTCTTTATTACAGCAGCAACAGCATGGATTGAAGTGGCTTTATGGCTAGTAATTGCATATTTGCTATGTTCTTGAACTGTTTCAAATGCAAGATGACCCACTAGTAACCGAATTACATTATGCTGCGCAAAAAGATCTTGACATTTTGAATAATTCGCAGCCAGTTCTGATACAGCCCAAGCTACAACAGCTTGAACTTTCATCGGACCTTCTTTGAGGATTTTCGCAAACACCGTACAAACACCGGCATGGATCATGTGCTCTACGCTTTCCGGGTCCCGACCCAACAATCCGATTGCTCTTGCAGCGTTTTCTTGACCCTCCATTTTCCCATCTTTGACCAACTTCAACAAAGGTTGAACTCCTCCTTCTTCGATAATCAACTTCCCGTACCGATCGTTGTCTCTTGCCAGCGATACCAGCGAGGCGGCAGCATCAGATCTATCGTCTAATGATCCAGTATAGAGAATCGCTATCTGTTCCCATATAAGACAGAGAATTGGCTCATTAGCAGCAATCGGAGGCAATCCTAAATACTCGTCGTCACGGTCATCGGCGGACGCCGAAACTCGTAAAAGCCACGACACGTCGCCGATTGAATTTTCCAAATGAGATGACATTTTACGAAACGCGGCGGCTGGAATAATAGTGAAAACGCGCTTCATGAGACCATTGGCACGGCATTTTTGAACAAGAGTTAGAGCTTTATCAAGGACTTGCTCTGTATCGTCAATGATCCGGCGAGTAGGTCGCTCGTATAAATCAGAGCTAGCTCTAGCTGCTTGACGGAGTAGAGCGGCGAGTTTTTCTGTCTTGGATTTGAGTTCTGCACACTCTTGTTTAAAAGAGCTCGCTTCATCTGCTGTTTTGATAACTTGGTCTGCTAATTGAATAGGCTTTGCCAAGATTTGCTTCACTAAGTCCGCCATGGATTTAACCACACGGCGGACGAATGGAGAAAACACACAAAACCCACTATAGAAATCTTGGAAAAAAAGATGGGTTTTGGACAAAAAGATCAGATCAAGAACAACAGAGAGAAAATTTCTATAAAAAATAATTAAAAAAGAAAAAATACGAGATGTTAGTGGCTTGATTGATGGCAGGTAAAAGAAAGAAAGGTGGTTGTGAGATGAGCTGGAGATTCTTGGATTGTTTTTAAGGGATTATATAATTTCTTTTCTTTTTTCCGATCTTCTGTGAAATGGAAGAAGAGTCCGCTCTTGCCCTTTGTAATGGTGGACGGACGGGGTTTACAAGGTCAAACGCGTTTTTTCAAAGTTTTCCTTCTTTTTTCTTTTAATGTGTGAAAACCTAATCTTGATTTTGAGTACCGTTTAGGTCATTTTGAGTGCTTCGGTTGGGGCTTTTTTATTTGCACTTCACACCAAAAGAAAAATAAAAATTCATTTTTTAAACAGGTATTTTGCTGGCAGTTTCTTTCTTTTGCCTTCCTATCCTAAACCACCAGTCAGTCTTACAAGGTCTACCAAGTCCACACGTTCAAACAGTTTTTAAACAATTTCTCAGTCAATTTAAAATTAATTTTTAAAATAATTTTAAAGTTTGAATTTATAAACTTAATTGAAAATTAATTTCATATTGTTAATGAGTTTTGTAACGTACTTTTTATTTATTATTTCATATACTTCCAAGATCCTTATAATAGTGATTTTATTGTTAAAAAGGAAATTTGTATATATTAAAAAGGAAATTTTATAATTTGAATAGATTTTGATGAGATTTTTAGTTGTAAATTCATAAGTATCCTTTGATATATTTATTTATTTACGATGATGATCCGCTTGTCTATTTCAAATATCAATACTCTCAAATTTTATTTTTTTAATAATAACTGATAAGAATGATTATTAATTCAGCTGATTTATATACGTAACTAACTGTTGATTTGTGTTCAACAACTAATAGTTGTTTAGTAAAGATTTTAAATACCCGTATGTACATAAAAGTAAAGGCCACTATTAGCCAAAGTGGAACTAAGCCACTAAGGTATTTGGCTTAATAGCCGACCTGCCGTTGCTCAGCCCATTGGCCAAATTAATGTTGTGATTGATCAGCAAAAACATTGCTAAGACTAGTAGGCCAGCTTCTGTTAAATCCCAATCGACTAATTCAGATTGGCACGCTCTCGTCATTTCTAGATAGAGGATCCCTATTGCTTCTAGGGGCAAGTCTATAGCGTTTCTTTGGTTAATAGCCCCAATTGGTGCAACATCGACCAATCATTCCCTTCAAGTTGATCAAACAAGGGAGAGAGCATGTGGGCTTTAAGGCACCCTTAAGAAACAATCTGTAATACAAGGACCTCCGAACTAGAATCATTAATCTCAAGGTTGAGCTTGCAATGCTTGAGTCACAATAGTCTATCCTCGTGACCAAGGTGGTCGAACTGAAGGAAACTTGTCAAGTTGGTAAGAAGGATTTAGATACTCTCGAAAATGAATTGTGGATTGAAGGACTAGGGTTGAGGAGCTAGTTAACAGGCAGAGAAAGGTTGGACGTTAAGATAATTTTTTTCTATATATGTTTCCTCAATTGTAATTCAGATTGCATCGCTTTATTTAATGTATTTGATTCATTCAATGAGATAGATTTTGTTCTTAGTAAAAGTTTGTTTAAATTGCCTAAACTGCCCGCTGTAATATATCATTTGAAAATTTCACATGTTTATCTGCTCATCGATATATTCAACTGCAGTAAAGTCATTCAAATAATGATAAACCAATAGGGAGTCCGTCCAAGTTAAAGAGGCATCATTACCTTTATGAGCAATTAACTAACTATGTAAGCACTAATCAATTTAAAATGGTTAGTATTGATCTTGAGCGGATAGGCTGTTATCATTTTCATGGACCGACCCTTTACTAACCATATAGGTGCTAACTGGCTCAGGGCTGCAGTTTTTACTTGATCCAAAGGAACACTAAAATCATAGTTCGGTTGCTGCTCAACTATATGAACAATGATGATTCAGATCGGTCGATTGTTTATTGGTCCAAGAAGTAACCTTACACCAAGGGTTCATTGACTCAATTATGTTGGTTGCTCAAGAGATGGGTTGGATTCGCAAGATTTCGGCTAGTCCTGGCTGAGTCGCATTGGTGTATCCATTCTTCAATAGAACTCCGAATCTAGCAATATTATCTTGTAACTCAATGGCAGCATTTTGTATGTTCGTTTGGGCTGTTAAATTTTCTTCAATTATTTGCTGAAAGGCTTGCTCCAATAGTTAAGCACAAATTGACATATAAGTTGACTTTCTCATTTCAATAAGCGATTCATTAGCTAGATTCATTGAAATGTCTGATGCTTAAGCCATTAAATCATTAGCGATGATCACCTTATCTTTTGTGACCATTTCATCAATCAATGCAGTGGTATCGTGATATCTTCACAAAATTCAAAATGATCTCACCGAGCATGTCAAAAAAATTCTTTGATTTAAAAGTAATCAGATCAGACATGTTTTGTGACCATTTCATCAATCAATGTAGTGGTATCGTAACATCTTCACAACATCCAAAATGGTCCCACCGAACATTAGGCATGGCGGCCGGTTCGGTTCTAACCGGAATCCAACCGTACTGTAGACGAACCGAAACCGACGGTTCAAAATTTTGAACCGAAACCAGCGGTTCAAGGGCCGGTTAAGGTTCATGTGAATGTTAAAAAATGAACCTGATTCACAAACAAAATTATTTGTTGCAATAATACTTAATTTATAAAAGTAGTGAAAAAAAATATCATCATTTCACTTATTTGGTAGAAAAAAAAAGGTTTAGTAGTGAAAAAAATCATCATTATTTCACTTAATTAGCCGTTTGAACTTTTTTTTTTTACAAATACCTATTTTTTTCTTTTTAAAAAGGTTTAAGTAGTGAAAAAAATCATCAATTATTTCACTTAAATTAGCCGTTTTGACTTTTTTTTTTTACAAAATACCTATTTTTTCTTTTTACAAATGAACTAACATTTACACAATGTTCAAAGTTTTCAAACGACTTAGTTTTGAGCCTTTTGAGAGTTGAACATTTAATTTTTTATTTTTGGTAAATAATTTTATTAATTTTTAATCAATATTTATTTATTATTTATAATTTACTAAATTATCCAAAAATATAATTGTTTTTTCTTTCATGTTATAAGGGACAATTTTGGAAAAACTACATAAAATGAAAAATATGTATAAATATGATGAGTTTATTATTTTTTTTTTCAACAACCAATTTATTATTATATCTCTCCTCTTTCTTAATATTGCTTTATTTTCATACATCCAATTTCTAAATTCCATTAATTTCATATTCCTTTATTCATTTTTTTTCCTAATTCCATTAAAATTATTGGCCACACCAATTATTCACAAAGCTCCAAGGGAAAGCGAGTTGCTCCAAGCGTGGAAGAAATTGATTCAAATGATTCATTGATTGATTTTTCACCACAAGAAGCAATATCTCCTAATATTTCAATAGGTAAACCACCAAAAATTAGATATTTTCAAGTAGCACTTTGCAAAATTCAAGCAACAATGATGATTCCGACTCATTAACAGGGACTAGTGGCACCGATGACTAAAATTAATTGTAACTGAGCTATTATTAATTGTAACTGAGCTATTATCCTCTCTAATTTTCAAGAGGATACGTAAGCAATTAAATTAAATTTTTTTCAATTTTAATTTAATTCAAGCCCAAAATAAAAAAATTATAATTTTCTATATTAGTGAGTTAGCAAAATTTGTAAATTTAATGTAAATTAATGTAATAATAATTTCTAAATTAATAGAAGTTTTTGTTAAAATTTTATAATAATTTTAAATTTTTAGTTAATTAAAATTTAAACATTTTAAAATTTAGTTAATAAAATTTAAACATTTTAAAATTATTATTTATTCATGAATTCGGAATCACAATTTTATTATTTTTTTAAAAATTTGCGTAATGTCGGAACCGAATTGGAACCGTAATTTGAATCGTCGATTCACCGGAACCGTGCCGGAACCGAAACAAGAGGTTCAAGGGTCGGTTCCGGTTCAAAATTTTAAACATCTCAAACCAGCGGTTCAATGAACCGAAACCGGCGGTTCATTGAACCGGCCATGCCTACCGAACATGCCAAAAAAGTTGTCTGATTTAAAAGTAATCAGATCAGGCTTGTTGGATCGTGCTTCTATCAGGTTGCCAAGGTGTGGGTCAAAAGTGCATGGGGTTAACAACTTAACAGAATATGGGCTGTTAGTCCAAAAATAGGGAGAAAAAGAGAGAGATAGAGGGAAAGAATTTGGTGAAAAGATAAATAGAAATAAGAAGAGAGATTAAGAGAGAGAAAGGAGAAAGGGGAAAGAAAGGAAGGGGGGGGGGGGGGGGGGGAAGAGGGGGGGGGGGGGAAGAGAGAGATAGAGAGGTAGAATAAATGCTATTACATTAAAGTTGGAGGAATGTAGTCCAAGTAAAGTATAATATATTTTAAAATATTCAGAGTCCTATATCATATTTATTATTTGTACAATATATATTATACATTATTGAGCTTCTTTGCTGATTTAAGCTTTGCACATCGACCATCTAGTTGAGTTTGCCCGTGGAGCTTGTTCTATGCTGGCATCAACAATTATTAATCTTATTATAGTTAACATTAAAAAAAAATTAAGATTGATGTATCAAAACTTTAGAATGCAATAAATATAAAGATAAATATTAAGCTTACAAAAAAAAAAAGAGTATTTGTACTGATTATATTATTTATGCAAATATTATTTAAATTTTTAAAAATAATAATAAAATTCGTAGTGCATAGTTTTATAACTAAATTGAAATGTAGCATGCATTTCAAATCAAATTTAACTATAGATACATTATTATTATTATTATTATTATTATATTATTTATTATTTATTATTATTATTATTGTTAGTCTTGAATTCAATTAATGAAGTTGTAATCCAATTTGACATTGTCAAATTATGATTAACGGGTAAAAATCCAGTTATAGTGGCACGTTCAGGTAATAATGTAGTGGTAGTGACATATCAACAATTACAAGTAACTATTTTTCATTTTTTTTTTTTTTTTTTGGGTAAACATACACTCAGGGATACAATAAATTTTAGAGTTTTTTCTCACTTAAAATTTTAAATTTAGATAGTTGGTTAAGAGGGCCCCAATGTATTAAATTGAAAAACCTTATTTAAGCAAAACAAAAGAAGTCTAAAAATCTATTGAAAAATTTATAATTTTTTTTTTTTTTTTTTTTTTTTGGGTAAACATACATCAGGATTACAATAAATTTAGAGTTTTCTCACTAAAATTTAAATTTAGATAGTTGGTTAAGAGGG